CCCCCCCCCCCCCCCCCCCCCCCCGCTGTGCTGTGTCTCCCCTGTGTCGTCTGTTGGAGCTCAGGCTCAGCATGGCTCTGCAGGGTTGGCTGAGGTTCTGTTCAGTAGAAGCATGTTGTTCTAGTTTGATTCTTTGTTTCCATTAAGTTTCCCTCATGTTTGTTTCCTCCCCCGTCCTCCCCTCCTCCTTCTGTTCACTTCCTGTTGCCACCGCTCTCCCACCACTGCATCCTGGTGCTTCCATCCAAAAACCATCCACACACACACACACACACACACGGCGACCCCAGGGTGAAAATTCCTTCCTGCAGGCCACCGTAGCGAAGCTGGGTCCGCTGCCGAGGATTCTGGGAGATATCTCCCGCTGCCTGTCGGCTCCCACGCCCGTCCAGCAGCAGCTGAGACGCTTCCAGGAGCACAGCTCAGCCCACAACATCAGCGGCAGCCTGTCGTCAGGGTTACAGCGGATCTTTGAGGACCCGGCCGACAGGTAACCAATCAGAGAAGAGCTCGAGAGCTCCATTCATACCAATGAATACAATAACTACTACTAATACATACAGAACCACAAGAACATGTTTTTAACAATCGTTCATCACAGACGTCATTATCGTCAGGTTTTCATCTTTCCGACGGTCCTTGAACGCATCATGTGTGACGAACGCTTCCTTCAGTAAAATCAGCCAAACGAAGCTTTAAATCATGATTCATGATCATCATCTTATTCTTCATGTCTCATTATAAATGTCTCCTCTAATAAAGAGTTCACTTTAACCAGATTGTGTAAAAACATTAAAGTGTGAAACTATGACGTCATGATTGATTCATCTGAGACCAACAGTCATGTGACTACAAGGAGGAGGAACATAATCCTCACGTGTGCTTCATGGTGACACTGGAGCTGAATCCACGATCGTCTCCTCTAAACGACATGTTTAAAGTCTGTAAGAGTCTGACTCTTGTGTCACTTCCTGCAGCCGCAGCGACGCCCGCAGCCTTCGGTCTCCGGTGGGTGATCTGATGGAGGGTTTTGCTCGAGGTCAGCGCCCCCTGCTGGCTCAGCAGCAGCCCTCCACCCACACCAGCTTCTCCGACCATGAGGAGCGAGACCACCTGCTGCCCAACGGACGCAGCATCTCTCTGGTGGACCTGCAGGACGTCCAGAGCCTGCAGGGTCTGGTCGGGGCGGGCTCCCAGGCCTCCGGACACGCCCCCCTGCCCCTGCTCAACTACTCCAACCCGGCACCGCACCAGACCAGAGCCCCGCCCAGAGACGGGCAGACGCAGAGCGCGCCGCAGGCGAGGCGTCCGCTGCACCCGTCGCTCAGCCAGCAGCGCAGCCTGCTGCCGCTGTCCTTCCAGAACCCCGTGTACCACCTGAGTAACCCCGCCCACAGCCTGTCCACACGCTCCGCCCACTCGCTGCGCCAGGACTCCTCCTCTGAGAACCTGAGCACCGAGAGCAGCTCGCACATCAGCCACAGCATCTCCGACGACTTCGGCGGCAACCAGGTGGGGGTCAAAGGTCGCACGCCGTCCAACAGCAGCCTGGACGAGTTGGCCGGCAGGCGGAGCGCGCAGAGCGAGGAGTGCTCCGCGCCACCGCGGCGCCACGCCACGCCCGACCTCCCGGTGGCGGTCGCCGTCCCCCGACAGAGCACAACGGCGGGCACCGCCCACATTGTCAAGGTGGAGCAGCAGAGCAGAGGAGGGGGCGGGGCCAGGACGCCGCGCTCTCTCCCTCACAGCGCCTCGCTGCGCAGCGGCGGCAGCGTTAACGCGGAGCCTTCGCCAACCCCCGGCCGCGCCGCACGCCAGCAGCCCGCCTGCTCTACGGAGAACACGGCTCCGCCCTCGAGGAGCGCCGCCAAGCAGCCACAGCAGGTACTGCAGAGACACACAGGAAGTGGAACATTTAGCGTTTCATCTTAAATACTAAAAAGAGGGAACGTATAACCTCCGTTTACAAGCTCACATTCACAGCTTCAATACCTGAAGCAGGTTGTGATGTTTCAGACAGTAAAGGGTTAAACTACAGGTTGTGTGTTTGTGAACATGATGAAGAATATTTAACTATTTAAATACTACGTGTGTGTGTGTGTGTGTGTGTGTGAGATGATGATGTCCCCGGTGTGCGTTCAGGTGGCGTCTCCGGTGGAGGCGGTGGCCGTGGTCGTAGCGATGTCTCCGGTGGAGAGGACGGCAGCCTGGGTGCTCAACAACGGCCAGTACGAGGAGGAAGAGGAGGAGGAGGAAGAGGAGGGAAAGGAGAGGAGCAAGGAGGAAGGAAAGAACACTGAGAAGGTACCGAACAGGTTCCATTCAATTCAGAGAGATTTAACTGGATCACTAGATAAGAGAATCCCATCAACAGTGATGCTCTCCTCATGTTAGGTATGTGTGTGTGTATATATACTGTGTATATATATACACACACAGTATATATACTGTGTATATATATATATTGTATATTAAATAGTATATATATACAGTATATATAGTATATATACAGTATATATAGTATATATACACTGTATACATATACTATATATACTGTATATACAGTATATATAGTATATGTATACAGTGTATACATATACTGTATATACTGTATATATAGTATATATATACACTGTATACATATACTGTATATACAGTATATATAGTATATATATACACTGTATACATATACAGTATATACAGTATATGTATACAGTATATACAGTATATATAGTATATATATACACTGTATACATATACTGTATATACTGTATATGTATACAGCAAGACACTGAACCCTTAACTGCTCCCCGGGTGCAACTCAGCAGCCCACTGCTCCCAGTAGGCTAGAGATGGGTTAAATGCAGAGGACAAATATGTGTAAATGTATATGACAATAAACTTAAAACTAAAAAACTAAAACTTCCTCCTCCTCCTCTTCCCCCTCTTCCTCTTCCCCCTCCTCCTCCCCCTCCTCCTCCCCCTCCTCATCCTCTTCCTCTTCCTCTTCCCCCTCCTCCTCCCCCTCCTCATCCTCTTCCTCTTCCCCCTCCTCCTCCCCCTCCTCTTCCTCTTCCTCTTCCCCCTCCTCTTCCCCCTCTTCCTCTTCCCCCTCCTCCTCCCCCTCCTCTTCCTCTTCCTCTTCCCCCTCCTCCTCCCCCACCTCATCCTCTTCCCCCTCCTCTTCCCCCTCCTCCTCCTCCTCCCCCTCCTCCTGCAGTATGAGCTGGAGATCTCCCGGCTGAAGGAGCGTCTGCGGGTGTCTGCTCTGCGTCTGGAGGAGTACGAGCGTCGGCTGCTGGCTCAGGAGCAGCAGATGCAGAAGCTGCTGCTGGAGTACAAACAGCGTCTGGAGGACAGCGAGGAGCGGCTGAGGAGGCAGCAGGAGGAGAAGGACGGCCAGATGAAGAGCATCATCTGCAGGTAGGGACACACTCCACCCCTCTGGGCTGCACAGGGCAGACGAACAGACGCACCTGGGTACAAATAACAAGTGTGTGTGTGTGTGTGTGTGTGTGTGTGTAGGCTGATGGCGGTGGAGGAGGAGCTTAAACGGGACCACGCAGAGATGCAGGCCGTGATTGAAGCCAAACAGAAGATCATTGACGCTCAGGTACAACATCACACCTGTATGAACCTTTACTCTGAAACATGAGCTGGTTTCCTGTATAGCAGCTTTAAGTACCTTTACTCTGAAACATGAGCTGGTTTCCTGTATAGCAGCTTTAAGTACCTTTATTCTGAAACATGAGCTGGTTTCCTGTATAGCAGTTTTAAGTACCTTTACTCTGAAACATGAGCTGGTTTCCTGTATAGCAGCTTTAAGTACCTTTACTCTGAAACATGAGCTGGTTTCCTGTTCAGCAGCTTTAAGTACCTTTATTCTGAAACATGAGCTGGTTTCCTGTTCAGCAGCTTTAAGTACCTTTATTCTGAAACATGAGCTGGTTTC